GCTAACGCGCGCCTGCTGTTTCAGCTTGCCTGGAGGGCGAGGAGGCCGCGGAGGGGGGCGCCCCGGAGGCCAAGTTCCCGTGCCCTCTGGCCATGTGGGAGCTCGGACACTGCGACCCCAAGAAATGCACCGGGAGGAAACTGGCCCGAAAAGGGTTGCTGCGGACCCTGCGCCTCCGCCAGAGATTCCCGGGCCTGGTGCTCAGTCCTCTGGCTACCGAGTACGTCTCGCCAGCGGACAGGGGAGTCCCCGTGCAGGCCCGCGCCCCGGTGAGCTCGCCGCCTGCCTGCAAAGCCTGCGGAGGCGCAGGCTGTGAGGAAGAGCTTGGGTCGAATGCTGTAGTGATGGTGTGTTGGGGAGAACATTCTAACCACCAATTCGTAGCCAAAACCGTGCTACAGAATAAATTTGACCTTCCTGTCGTTACATTGATGCATGAACGTGAGAAACGGAGCCAATTTATTAAATCGTGTTAACGTTTTTACACAGCTGGTATTGTGCAAAAAAAGCATTTGTAGATCCCAATGAGAAAGCAAAGTATGTGGTTTGTAGGTTTAATTTGTTCACAATCATGGGCCTACAGCTACTGTATCCTTTATGATGCCATATTCAAGTTCTTCTGCTAGGCAACACAATGCATTAACTAGAAAACTTATTGGGGGGAAAACATGGAGAATTTTCTTCAAATGTGCCTGCCGAATTATTATAAAGAAATATTTACTCAGAGAAAAGATGAGGCTTTAGAAGCTAGTAGAGAATGTAAATCTGAACTTTGGTGTGCTTTTAAGAATGTGAATGTTATTATTAACCACATTCTTCTGTCACGGTTTTTAAACCTAGAACTTCTCACTTTCAGTTCAAAATGTACGGCTAAACCTTTTTTGCCACATGCATCTTCGGAGGAAAAGCGTATTATTTTTCTTTCTCATTGCATCTGTATTGTAGATCATTGTAAAACACGTGCTTTTTGATTGATGAAAGGGGGAGGTTGTATGCAAATTTGTTGCCAGTATAAAGTGGCAGTTGTAATTCTCACTTTAACTTATTTTATCAATAATAACAATTTTTCAAATACAGTGATGTTTCTTTTTTCAGGCATGTTATTGCTCAGAGTGGAATTGCAGTCATAGATTGCTCGTGGGCCAAATTAGAGGAAACTCCCTTTAAGAGAATGAGAGGAAGTCATCTACGGCTGCTGCCTTACTTGGTGGCTGCAAATCCTGTAAACTATGGTCGGCCATGCAAGCTGTCCTGCGTGGAAGCTTTTGCTGCAGCTTTTTGCATTGCTGGTAGGCTGTAATGTGATGTGTCTGATGTGAACTATGTTACCAGCAATTGTTACATCCTTAATACATTAGAAGAGATGATCTGCGATAGAAGAAACTGTAATGCTGTTCCACTGGTCATCACTTTGTTGAGTTTGGAATCAGATTGTCTAGCTTTTTTCCAAGTATTCATATCTAGTAGCATCGAGGTATCTGTGGGGTGTTCACATCAGCTACTAAACAGGACACACAGACTGATGATCCTGGTTTTGTCAGGATGGCACTTAATGATAGAAAAACAGTTAAAAAAAAAGCCAGAGAAGACAAAGTATGAATCCTTAGGCACCTTTTCTTAATGACAGGTAACAGCTATAAGTAATGTGGGTTCTGGTTAAGAGCAAAAGAAATTGCCCCTCTTGCAATGTTCTGCAAACTCATCACAAAACTTTGACAATTGCAGAGACATGCTCTACTATACTGCAAAACAAATCTTATCTTCTGAAAATATTGCATGTACAAATGCTCTCTTACTGAAGGACTGTGGGAGCTAGAGTTTGAATCATTCATTACCTGTACAATATATTTTTATATAACACGCACTAAAAGACCATGAACTTTGCTTGGATTCAGTTCAATATTTCAAGTTAAACTGAAATTTGGTAAGATTTTTAATCTTTCTAAAAGTCTGAATCCCTGAACACTGAGAAGATGATGGCAAACATCTCACTATTGTAATGATACATAGGTATGTACTGAACTTAGAAACCTGTAAGCTGACTGAAATCTCACACTGAAAAAGAAAACCGATAATTTATTTTCTGTTTTAGGATTCCCAGACCTAGCCACCATTCTTCTAAGGCAATTTAAATGGGGTAAGGCATTTATTGAGGTGAACAAAAATCTCTTGGAAAAATACGCAGCCTGTCATTGCCAGGAAGAAGTGCTGAGAGTTGAAAAGGACTTTTTAGCCAATGTCCAAGAAACGAAAGATGAAGAAATAGGTAAGAAAAAACAGATGCACCACAGACCATACAATCTTTTCCTTTAATCTCATGAAAATACTGGCAAGGTAGAGGATAAGACCTTTGTTGAGATGTGGTGTTCTGTCTTTATACTGTGTATTCTTCTTATAAGCAAGTTTGCCTATTTTTTTTCAACTCAAAGACGCAAACAACTAAAGCAATTACAGTATTGTATTTGTAGCTGAACTGTGGAGCAGCTAGCCTGATTAAATTAAGGATATTGGAGAACTAAGGAGTAAAAAGAAAGTATGATGCTTCCTCATTTTATCTACAGATGTTAAAAGCGGAGTGTGAGTAAAAAGACAAGTAATTCAAGAGGACTGTTAAGAGAAATATAGGCATACAGTCTGACAAGAAGTTAGTTATACATAAATCTAAGACAGACCTTTAATGGACATGTTTATATAGTCCCTAATCAAGATGTTTAAAATCAGACCTATAAAGATAATAAAAATAGCTTATAATAAGTGCAGTAGTGTATTCCAAAATTCTTCCAGTAACTTACCGGTATCCCAGTATTTCAGGCTGTATTCACAGGTGAGTGCTGGTCTCATTCAACACAGCACAAAAAAAGCCAAATCGAATGATCAAGAACATACAAAGAGAGATGCTCCTAATTAATGTTTGCCTTTCACAGTGGTTAAGTCCCATAAAAATAGGCCAGGGGATCACACTGTAAGGAGATGGCAGACAGCCTCTCGCTTCTCTGAACTTTGATCTCTTTGCCATGACATGCTAGGCTGAAAGAACTCATCCTGTTGTTTGGTGGAAGGTGGAAGCCTAACTACTGTTAACATTAAACTGAAGACAGTTCTTAAGGGGCAACGCTACTATGCCAAATAAAGCACTTCCACCCACAAGCCTGTGTATTTTCTGGGTGGACTGTAGTACCAAAGTTATCGTGGCCATTTGACTTTTCCAAGGTAACAGTTCTCCCTAGCAGTGTAAGCCAAAGTAAATCTAGTCCTGCCCTTCCTCAGCAAGAGCTAAACCTGACAGCTATACTTCACTTCTCAGTAGACATGAGCTAACTAGATAGCGCTGTTAGAACTATGCCATTCTGAGAACATCCATGTTTTCTTACAAAAGCCTTAGGAACCTGTGTGTACAGTGACTGCCCCTGAAGAGCTACTGAACCCCTTGGCGGGGGGGGGCACCAAAGGGGATGGGAAAGAGGGAAAAGACTACAGAATGGGAGGGCAGGACTTGGCAGTTTTTTCTCACCTCCCCTGGTTTCTGACCAAACAACTACAGTAACCTAATCAGAAAGCTGAAACAGACTTCCCGTGCCTTCCCCTCCCTGTCAATTATCTCTTAAAATGAAAGTGAAGGCAGGCCATTAAAACGTACCTTCTTCATCAGTGTGTGTGGTTTTTTCCTTCTTTCTCCAGATCCGTTCGATGTTGACTCGGGGAAAGAATTTTCTAATCCCAACAGACCAATCAGTTCCCCACGGTAATGAAATGTAACTTAAATACTGTTTTTCTTACTGTAAGTTGTTTTGCTTTTATAATCCTGAAAAATGTTTCCAGACTAGCACAAAGTAATGAAGAATCTGAGGACAGCGTGAGCGCTCCGGATGATGCCACAGAAAGCAGTGATGAGAGCAGTCCAGAAGATGATGGTACTGTAAAGTTGCTGCAACAACAGCCAATAAATCAACGATTTGAAAAGTAAAAAAACCCAAACAACAATAAACCAGCAAACCCCCCGACAAACAAACAAAAAACCCCACATACCACAAGAACATTAAAAAAACCAAACAAACCAACAATCCCAAAGAGTTGTAACATCTTGTATAAAGAAATTTTCTGGTGAGCAGTTAACAGTGTGGCTTGTTCACCTGTAACTTGGTGCTTAGCAAATGCCTTCCTTTAGGTGAACCTCAGCCTGGATGTGGCTTTATAGGTCCGTTTATGCACATAAAGGCTTTAGATTATTTAATTTTTAGAGAATTGTTTATTGAATGCTAATTATTATGTAGAGAGCCTGAAGCTTAGTTACAAGTTAAAAAAAGAAAGAAAACCTGTATTCTAATCAGTGTGTCTGGAAAGTGGTTTGTTTATAGGGATTATTTTTTCCTAATAGTACATTAAGTAAACACTGGGCTATATTTCAACTGGAAAACATGACTCTGTCATTGCCCTGTTCAGAGGACCTACCACTTCAGGAACCTCTCACTTTCTGCAGGCTTGAACCTGCCATATGTATTTCAACTACATCTAGTTTAGGGTAAACTGGCTACCTAAGCTTAAAAGGAAAAAATGCTTCCTGGAATTGTTTTTAACATCTCAGTATGTCTTTTCAGTAACTTTACGTGCCTTTTTTTTTTTTTTTTCCCAATTTACTCCGATAGACAGTCCTAAGCAACATACAATGCTTTGGCACTTCGTACTCAGAACTGCACCATAAAATTTCAGGTAACAGGTTGAGCAATGCTATCTGCCTGCATCCTCGTTACTTGAAGCGCCACTACCAAGCCAGAAACACACGTTGTCTGGCCCTTAAAGATTCGAGTCCAAGACTCTCATCAGCCCTAGTATCTTAGTTCACTTTTCCATATGCCTGCCAGTTTGCAAAGTGAAAGTGCAGCTATTAGCAGTTGTTTTCTGTACATTTAAATAGAATGCTCTTTTGAGTTTCCAGCATCCAACTGGAACTTAAATAAGGGACATAGAATCTTTTCCTTTAACTCAGTTTCTCAATTACTCACTTCCCCCTCCAAGCACATGAAGTCCTTCCCAAATCAGCTGTTGCAACAAGGTTTTCTAGATAGTGACAAGGAAGCAATCCTACACAAACAATTTTTAAAGGACTGAGAATAATGTGAGGGCATTAGCTATGCTAATTTGGGGGAATGCTTTTATGTTATAAAGCTATCACAATCATGCAGACAAGCAGAACAGGTCTGAGAACAGAGCTGTATCACACTTAGAATAACTTAAGTCTCTAGCAGTAGCCATTTTTTAATAACAAAAGCACTGAAGAAGCTACAGCTCAGATGGAACAAAGCTTTTCACACTTCATTTGTTTTGCAGAATGATTTTGACTAAAAAATACAATAAAAAAAGCAGTGAAAGTTTAATAGAGGGCATATCAGCTTGACATACATGAAAATAACTTACATAATTTAACTGATTTCCTTTACAGAAGGAAACTGTAATTGCATAGAGCACGTCCTTTTCCTAAAAGCTATATACATTGACATATGGAAGAAGGCACAGAAGTATTTCTGATAAACAAGTACCATTTAAAATCCCCAGTTGCTGTAGGTCCCCATGCATTCCTTGGACAGCTTCTATTATTGTTCATATCAGTCTATGCTTGTGTTATTTTATTTTAACATGGTCACACACCAATATGTTGATCCCATTATGCACAGTAAGCAATTGGTCTCTAGCTAGTCAGAATTCTGTAAGCTGTTTAAGGAACTGATCGAAGTTGAATAGCTGCAATTACCACTCAGGGCACAAAGAAGGGCCACATTCACGTTGGGGGTGGGGGCAGGGAAAAGAAATGAAGGCAACATCTAAACAAAAGGTAAGTGCAGCATCACAGGCCTTAGAAACAGAACTTGCACTGAATTGTGTTCAGAGCCATTTAATTGGCCGCCTTTTAATAATTTTAATGAAGATAAATGAAACAAAGCCCTTTATATAAACAGTTTATTTACTCTAAACAGCAACACAGACAGAACGCCATATAAACACAAAGGAAGTGATGCAGAATAAGGAGGCTGGCTGACTTTGGATCTCAGAGGCTCTTAAGCAATAACAACCTAGTTTCTGAAAGATAGAAAAACAAGTTCAGGGAGGGAAGCGGGTGGAGGGCATGATTTTTTTTTTTTTTTCTCCATACAGCCAGCTAGAGGCTAAATATAGTTCTAACATTTTAAAGCATGCCTGCATCAGATAGCAAAGTAACTAGAGATACTAGTGAATTTATAGAAGTATAAAAGTTTATAATTTTACAGCAGTTGAATACTGACATCAATATTAAAATAAAAGCAAGTTTTACATAACAATCAAAAATACAAAAGACTGAAGGAAGAGACCCTGTATGAAAAAACTGGGGGCAATTCAGCAAATTTAGAACTGTATACAAGTGGCGAATATGGAAAATGGCACACATACAACCCCCTCCCCTAAGTGGATATTAATTGTACATAGCAACATTAGATTTTGCAAAAATTTTGTAAACAAGTTCTTGCCAAACCAATCCCTTCCTTTTTAAGATGCTGCATGACAGATGCTTATGATGGTGCAAACTTCTTGGCTTGTGCTCGAACCCTCTTTTCATATTCCACTCTGTTTTGGCTGAATAGAAGAGAGAGAGAAAGGGTAATTACAGCTTGAGAAATCAGAGGCCATATTATAGAGTTACTGCTCTTCTATTTCTCTTCAATATAAAACTAAGCTATTGCTGAAGGCAAAGCCATTAGATAGGAATTCACCAAGCACTACAATATATTAAAAGCTCTTCTGGACCATTACTCCAATAATTTCCTTTGGAGGGAAGTATGGTACTGTTTAACTAGTTACTTCCCAAACTTTATCTGTTGTCAAAGTATTGTACTATCTGACTTCATACCATACCGGTCTCTCTAAACAGGTTTGCGCCTGCTTTCTCAAGGCCAGCTGTACCTTACGTGCAAGCATTCTTATTCATCTGAATGTAAGTTTGCCACTCCCCATGTTAAGACCTGAGGTCATTAACAATAAATTCCAGTATCCTAAGAGCACAAAGTGGTTGATGAGAGCAGTTCACTAACAGCTGGTGGACTTCATATGATTTTAAAGTATCATCTTTACTGCTTTGGGGACAGAAGGGAAGCACTCTTGAAGAAACAGGAAAGTGGTAACGGTATGGTAGTTTCAGCCTTTCTCTCTGCAGACCCCGATTCACAATGTTAGGTTTATCCTAACCTTCAGTTGAAAAAAAAAAAAAAACCTAGCTCGACATTTTGAAAAAAACACTATAGTGCACTAAGTCTAGCATACTTGCTACAGATTGATCAAACAAGCAAGTACTACCTTCGAGGAACTATGACCAGTCATTAAGCCTCAGACTCAACACATAAAAGGGCAAGTTCTTTGTTTTCTATTCTTGGGCCAAGAAGGGATGGTAGTAGCTTAGTAGAGCATCCATTTACATTCAACACTGTATTTTGTATTAGCTGTCAGAAGTGTCAGTCAAGAGCTAAACAAAAATTTGTTACCATTACTCGTGTGCCAAAGGTAGTTTACAGTGACTAGATTTTGCAGACAGCTTTGCAGTAAACTTAACTTACTTTCAGCTATGAAGGCTTGCTGCAGTAAAAAAAAAAAGAGGCAGCAAATTATATCCTTAGAAGCTGACAGGTTGGGGGGAAGAAGAAATGAAGCCAATTTTGGTCACATCCAATGAACAATTACCAGCAAACAGACCGAAAATACTCTATAGTTTCTTCTCATAAACAGATTTACAAACTTCATCCTACAATTTTCTTGCAGTTATATTGCACTGTCACATGAGAACACAACCTAGCCATTAGGTCTCACACCCTCAGAATCCACACAAAAGAACGCCTGCCACAGTAGACTTTGCATGCCTACAGCAGAGGAGGAAGTAGGTTAGCACATTAGGAGTGCTAAAGTTAGAGCAACAGTACCAAAGCAATCCTGAGAATGAGAACAAGTATTCTTATTTTGAGTACAAAGTTTATTCTTGAAGTTTAACAACTTGACTAAAAGACATCTATTTAAACAACACTGCATCTTCTCCAGTATTTATCAACTATACTAAAATTACAGATGCATACACAATCCTTCTCTGTTGAGCTTCTTCTACCAGTTACTCATTAAGTAGCAAGACAGACACACTCTCAGATGGCAGAAATATAGTAACCCACCTGAAATACTATGCATGTCCAAAAGACACAAAGAGGATAAATGGGAGACTATACATTTGAAGTAACAAAACCCATGTGCACCATTTTATTCTCGATAGCATTTTTTTTCTAGAAGCACTTACAATAAAGCAGAAACAAGACTAGCAAAGACTGATTTTGTATATGCATGCACGTGGGAGGTGATAAAAAAAATAAACCACACACTACTTGTACATGTATAAAAGTATATTTTTCCTGCCCCATATTCTGTCAGAGTGGCTTTAAAAAAAAAAAAAAAGAAAGAAAGAAAGAAAAAAAGGCAGGGAGGCCTGCCTCATCATTACTGGCTCCCAAAGGTGCTGCCTGCAACTGTGGCCACCTAACTGTCCTCCATAAATAGAATTCACTCAGTCCCATCAAGTCTTCAGTAGCTACTTAAAAAATAACATTGGGTGAAGCCTTTAATTAAATCCAAGATGTGCTACCCGTGCCTATGTTTCCTTTTCACTAGGATCCTATAACAGACATTTTTGACATAGCTTCCATGTGAAGTCTCATAAAATGCCATTTTTCAAACTTGGCACTCTCCTGGAGACCTGTTCTTTTATCCAGAATGGTAATTCCACACTTCCATCTTGGTCATTATTTCAGTAGCTGTCAGTACCAAAAGCATTTGTTTAAAGTGTTTTGCTCCCCTAAAGATTATAGATCAGCCATCCATTTTTAATGGTGGGAAAATTTTAAGATTAAGCCTAAAAAAAAAAGAGAGTACTTTTTAGCTCAGAAATTATCACCTTTCCTAACCAATGCAAACTTCATTCTGCTGAAGCTACAAGCTTTCTGTACTTTTTAACCTATCCTTTTGGAAGATCTAGTTTCCACAAAATGCCACTTACTTCCTACAGCAATCACAGAAGCTCTCCCTTACCCTTCAGGCACAAGTGCTTAAAGGTACCCACTACTGGACAGAAGCAAGTTACTCCGATACAGATGAATGGGACTTGTCACTTAATTCAGTCTCCTCTATTAAGTGGTCTCATGAAATCATTATGCCTCATCACTACTACTCAGTTAGCCTTTACAGGAAAAGATTCTATGTTGGGCTAGAACCAGGATGAGAATCATGGTCTAACTGAAGGAGTCTTCACGCTTTATTGCTGTTGCAATGCTATTAAAAGCTCCACTAGCCTATTAACCGTAAAGTTACTGTTTTGTTCAAGTTTAGCGCAAGCTAGGCATCTCCACAGTAGACAGCCATGAAGGTAAGAAAATTCACCTGATCACTCCTAAAAACATTTGCGTGTTACAATATAAGTAACAGAAAGCTGTAGGGAATACGACAGCTTTCACGCTGATACGCAAAGATACTCACCAGTAAATTGTGTAAGCCTCTGCTTGAGCTGGGTCTTGAATATTTGGTTCATTTAGAAGTTCTTGTATTCCTAACAAGATCTGTGGAAGAAGGAACAGAAGTAACACAGGCATGGATATTACTAAGAGACATTCAATTAAAAAACCCTTAGAAATCAACTGTAGAAACACATAGTGAACATCTTACATTCACACAGATAAGCAAGCAAAGCAAATAAAAGGGCTAAGAATATGTCTAAGTACAATTAATGACCTGTTTAATTGTGATTGCTGGCCTCCAGTCCTTATCCTCCTCTAAGATGGAGAGACACACTGTGCCTGAAGGATACACGTTTGGGTGGAATAATGGTGGTTCAAATTTACCTGATGAAGAAGAGAGAATTACTTGCATGCAGCACTAAGATCAGAGAGTTGGTTTAGATCAGTGGGGAAAAAACAAAACAAACCCAACCTGGCCAAAGACACCCCTACTAACACCCCACCACCCACCCCCACCCCCCCAGAAAACACCACAGATTTCTGGAGCTATTAATACTGGTTTTCTTCTTGGCTCAGCCTGCACTTAAAGCAGGAACTCCATCACATCTGCGGTATCAATTCAGGCAGTGTAACACTATCATTGTGACCAGTAATCTTTTGGTTTGGGAATGGAAGCTGACAAAACAGTTTGTAGTAGCTTTACGGTAAAGACCTTTTAAAATCAATCCTGCCTTCACAGCCTCACATACTACCATATAAAAGAAAGATACTGCCCTTCACATATCTCATCTCTCCTCACTTCAAAATACTGAAAGTTCCATACAAAGAAGACTAAGTTTCTAGCATTTTTTCAGTCTCACTTTTCCTTTATGTATAATCAAGATGCACTAAACAAGAGGAACCAAGTTTAAATTGCAAGACTGACTGAAGAAGTAGGCTTGTGCAGCTCTCCTTCTGCCACTCAGTCTATATTCTGGCATTTCTTTAATCTTTACAGGACTTAAATGCAACAGCCACCATCTTGAGTAATGTAATGAACACTTGTTTAGCAATATATGAATTATCTACATCTTGGTGCAGTTTTCTAATCCATCTGACATCACGAGTCTTGCTTATGAGCTGCTCAATGAAGTTCAGTAGGAACTCAGAAGCTGCACTGGTAAGAAGTCTTACCAATCACATATACATCTTATTTTAAGGCATGTCAGTTCATTCAACACTTGCAGGATGTGCTAGTTGGTAGTTCTCAAGATATTCACGTTAAATAGCTTCCAGTTAAAGGATATGTTTCCTCTTGTGTCACATGTATTTAGGTGGATACAAACAAAAGGAGTAGCCAAGACAACCGATACGGCTGAAACTCTAAAATGAGAAATGAACTGCTGTCAAAAGAGCCATTTGTCATCACCGTCATTGGTTTGAGACGGTAGCCAATTCAAGAACCAAGAAACTAGGCAAGGCAATGGAAGCAAAGTTAAGGTAGATTTTAGATTTCAGCACGTCAAACTTGAGGAAAAAAGCTTGTCAGAATTCTGATGTAGGTAAGTTTGAGATGGGATAAGGAAAATTCTAAGACTTCACAAGGAAACTAGGTATCTGATGATATCTGTTGGACCTAGTATCAGAAAAATAGATCCATGTTTCAGAGCGAGTCGATGAAAAGGTTAAAACTGATGGAACTTTTTCTTTATTATTGTTTCCTAAGTTCTTGCCTTCTGAGTTCTTGGCTTAGAAGACTACCTTAACAGCAACAACAGGCAAAGGGATTTGGTCTAACCATGCCTACCTATTAGTTTCCAAAGAGTGCTTATCAGGCAGCGAACACTTCGAGTGGTGTTTTTGTCAACATTTGAGGAAACCCACACAGCAATCACCCCCCCCCCCCACACCAGCCCACCAC